GTGTGACCCAAAAAAGCAAAAAAAAAAAAAATAGAATAGGTAATAGGACCAAGATGAGGAAGACAATTACCTGTGAAGATCATGAGAACTTTGGTGTTGTGTGAATAAGAACAGAGAGAAACACAAGATGCTGCTACGCAGTAAAAATAAGGGTCAAATCACTGGACAGCCTTGTGAGCTGGTGAGAGAAACAGGATTCCCATTCTGAGGATCCTGATGGTTTTTAAACCAGGCGGGGCATATGTCACCAGGCGAGCACATTGCAGGTTTGTGTTTTAGGCATAGTGAAGTGTTGACATTGATGCAGAGAGTCAGAAAGAAATGCAAGAGTCCTAGAAGAAAATAGGAAGACCTGAAATAGGGCTATAATGTTATTGGGCCAAGATAGGTTCGATTCCTCCAACCCTCTCAGAGAGCCCGGTAAGCTACCGAGAGTATCTCGCCTTCACAGCAGAGCCTGGCAAGCTCCCCATGGCGTATTTGATATGCCAAACACAGTAACAACAAGTCTCACAATGGAGACGTTACTGTGCCTGCTCGAGCAAATCGATGAACAATGGGAGGACAGTACTACAGTGCTAAGTATTTTAAATATTTATAGTTGAAAGCTACTAAAAAAGGCTGCGGAAGGAGGACAAAAGCGTAGCTCTATGTGAGTTGACAGGTGCTAACTAAACTTGCTGAAAATCATTTCATAACTATATATGGTATATATACATATATAATGTTTCTATTTATATTTACCAAATCATTAAGTTTTCTACCTTAAATTAATACTAATCAATCTCCTCTATTGATCTATTTATCTATATGTACATATGACACTGAAAGGAAGTGATAAGAAGTAGTGGGAAGAACAAGGCATGAGAGAAAAATTGCAAAATATTTTCCAAAATAGTTCAAAGAAAAGGATCCATCTTGGTATGCCCCAGTGACACTGTCCAGAAAGTAAACTGATGTGGATTAAGGGTTGGAGCCCATGTTTTGTATACGGGAGCCTTGAATTATACTCATGGCACTTGGTCCCCCAAGCATGTGGGTGCAACTCCCAACCTCCAAACTTAAAAATATACATTATATTGGATAAGGAAAGTCCTTATGATTTCTCTTTGTTTTATTCTGTCCAGTTCTGAGGAGTCTTTGTAGCACCACACACAGTAACTAACATTCAAACACCCATTTCTAGTAGCAGTAGTTCCAAAGTTAAATCACAGTTAAAAAGTAATATGAATGAGTCAGGGAAATTGACAGCATGTAGGACACTTGTTTTGCATGTGACCAACTTGGGTTTGATCCTCAGCATTGCATAAGGTCCCTCAAATCACATTTCTAGTGGTGATCCATGAATACCAGAGTCAGGAGTAAGCCCTGAACACCACCATGTATGGCCACTCAAAAAGAAACAAAACCAAAAATAAACCCTAACGTGGATCATTTTAATTTTATTTTGGGGGATAATTCTTGGGTCATCCCCTGCAATGCTTGGGATCACCCCTGTCTCTCTGCATAGGGATTGCTTTCAGGGCCATGACGTAGCAGAGATCATCTGAGGGTCAGCTGCATGCAAGGCATTTTACTTTAACAACAAGTAAAAGCTGTCAGACTTGCATAAAATACTATCAGAAAAGGAGAAGGCATGAAAGGTGCTCATCATCTTAAAAACAAAAAACTGCTTTAAAACAAAAATTTAAGTGGCAAAAGTTAGAATAAAACTGACATGTCTTTATTAGCTTTTTCCTTCTTTCTTTTTTTTTTTTGCTGCCTTCAGTGAGAATTTAAAAATTGGGCTTAGACATATCTTGAATAGAATGGCAAACTAAGAAATGGGAAAGCAGTATTTTTTAACCTCTTAAACTGACTGCTCCCTGAGTAGAAGAATTCAAGTCAAAGTCAAGCTTTTGTAATGCAATAACCCCCCCTTTTGTTAATAGCTTGTATAAAAATGCTCCCTCCATTTTCAGTAAAGTTCTGGAGAAGCAAGAAGATGAGAACAGCAGATTTAAGACAGACTTCAAATTAGATAAGACGAGGCAAGTAAACTGATTTTTCTTTCAAACTTAAGGAAAAATGATAAAGAAAGAACAACTATAGCAGCCCTTTCTTTCTCTTTGTATAAAGTTGGAATGTTTGGCCTGTCTTAAGCCCCTATGTAATCAGAACCAGAGAACTGCCACAAATATTTCCTTCTTGAATCTTGTTGACGCACAATCCCTGATGCTCAGGCCAAGCAGCTCTAATGGGTGGGTTTGGTTTTGTTTTGGGCCACATTTGGTAGTGCTCAAGGCTTACTCCTTGCTCTGTGCTCAGGAATCAATCCAGGTAGTGCTTGGGAGACCATATGTCATGGTGGATATTGAATCAGATTGACTTCACGCAAGGCAAGTCTCTTAAGCCCAGTACTATCTCTCTGGCCCTCGACTGACTTTTCATACAAAGCTATGCAGCTTCTGTTGCAGCCGCTTGTGTTCTTGTCCCACCTACCCTGAGCCTAATCTCATCCTGCCTATAGTCAGGACACTCAGCATACACTCAACAACTATGAAGTAAGCACTTTCCTAACCGTGTGAACATTGTGTGCATATGTGAGCACATAATCTATATAGAGTACTTAGAAGAAAATGTTGATGCCTCTTCTGCAAACTACAGCACCCAAAAGGAGAGAGAGAACAAAAAGGAATGCCCTGCCACAGAAGCAGGGTGGGATAGGGGGTTGGGGGGTGGGATGGATACTGGGATCCGTGGTGGTGGAGAATGGGCACTGGTGGAGGGATGGGTATTCGATCATTGTATAACTGAAACCCAAAGCACAAAAATTTGTAAGTCTACAACTATACCTATGATGTTTCACTAATAAAATTGTTTTTAAAAAAGAAGAAATTGTGGAAAATACTCCTTCTAAAGAAATTGGTAATGATTATTGCATTCATCTGGAGAACATAAAGTAACAAAATAGGAGACTAACACCCAAGAGTGGCCGAGATTAGTACCAGGAGGTTTGCTCCATGGCTTGGAGGCCAGCCATACATGCTAGGGGAAAAGGGAGCTCAGACAGAGAAGGGAGCGAAGGGAGCACCAAATAAAGGGTGTTGGGAGGATCCTCCCAGGATGGGAGAAATATGTTAAAAGTAGACTATAGACCAAACATGATTGCCACTCAATGCCTCTTTTGCAAACCACAACACCCAAAAGGAGAGAGAGAACAAAAGGGAATGCCCTGCCACAGAGGCAAGGTGGGATGGGGGGGATGAGGGGGTGGGAGGGATACTGGCACCCGTGGTGGTGGAAAATGGGCACTGGTGGAGAGATGGGTATTCGGTCATTGTATAACTGAAACCCAAGCACAAAAATTTGTAGGTCTACAAATACAAATTTGTAGGTCTACATAGGTACAGACCTATGGTGCTTCACTAATAAAAATTAAAAAATAAAAAAAATAAAGAAATTGGTTATCACTGTGATTGCAAATTGTTGACTTTGTGGAACGATGGAGGCCTGCCAATGTATCTGACAGCAAAGACAGTGGGACGATGAGGGAAAAATAAACCCAACACTAGGAAAGAGAGTCTGTTTGTATGTGTGCATGCAAACACAGAACACTAGGTTTAAGCAATCAAGAAAATAAAGATCTTGATGAGAAATTTACTGAGACTGAAATGGAGCTTCCCCGAACAGGGTGAGTAGGAAATGAGTATCTGTCCAAATGTCTGAAACATGTCCAACTATTACCAAGGAAAGCATTTTTCAACTTGACTTCTTTCACAAGTAATGAATGCATGTGTACTTACTACACACCTGGACATAGCAAAAGGATGCCTTCTGCATATACTTTTACTATGTAATATGATTGAGGCATTTTTTTATTTCTTTATGTTTTAAATATTTTTATGCTTTAAATTGAGATCATATGGCTAACCATATTACTAATAATATTTTCTCATGCACATAATAACACAACATCCATCACTAGTATAACCATCTCCCTACCACAAAGACCAACACCCTCCCTCTTATCCAACCCTCCACCCGCCCCCAGCCATTTCAGTTGTGTAGCTCAGTTCTAATGGTCTCCATTAGAACTAAAATATTTTGAATGGAATGTTTTTTTTAAAAAAAGCTGTATTTGGGGGCTGGAGAGATAACACAGCGGGGAGGGCGTTTGCCTTGCACGCGGCCAACCCAGGTTCGATTCCTAGCATCCTATATGGTCCCCTGAGCACCGCCAGGAGTAACTCCTGAGTGCAGCGCCAAGAGTAACCCCTGTGCATAGCCAGGTGTGACCCCAAAAGCCAAAAAAAATGTATTTGAATGTTTTTATTGCCAATAGTGAGCAATTATAATAGATACAGTGACCTCTAACTTCCCTCTTAAATTCACTACATGACTCTTTCCATTTTCAGCAAAACTACATAAATAGTATTGGTTATTATTATTAAATTAATTCTGCTGTCTGTGAATAAAAGCAAAATGCTTTGGTATTAAAGACATAGCTTAGGGGTAAAGCACTTTCTTTGCTTGTGTGAGGTCCTGGATTTTATCATCAGCAATGCAAAAAACAAAATAAATTTTTAAAAAGGTACTTGAGTGTGCTGCTTGCAAAATTAATATTGAAAGACAAATTTTAAAAATATTAGCTTATCTAGGAGTTTGTGAATTCACTATTATGTCTTAAATGTCATTTGTGCAAATGCTTACCATGTAGTTTGTTTAAATGTAAAGTAGGATATATTTTATGCTTAAAGAAATTTTTAGTTACAATGTTTTTAAACAATCACACTTAAGGCAATTTCCATTACAAAAAAGATACTGAATATATACAGCCATTTGAGTTTTTAATTTAGAATTCAGATATCCATTAAATATTGACTTCTTGGAGTCAAGAAGAAATGTTTACTATCAGATCCTGAAAAGTTCTAAGAAAGTTTTTTTTTTCCTAACTGGATTTTTTTTTTAGGTTTTTCTACTTGAATATTTTTATGATGTATGAAAGAAATCGGTCTCACCTGCTTTTGATTGTGGGTTTCGTCGTGGCTCTTCTGGGGCCTCAATTGGCTGATCAGCCAGGAACACCCGAGCCTGGTCTATAGCGTTCAGGACAGAATATTCTTTCTCCTTCAACTCGCGTCTCAGAGCCTTTGCAAAGAGAAGCAAAAGTGAAGATGGTAACTGAATGTGCTCATCAAGCGACAGATCCGCCTCAATTAGATCACCTTTGACCACACTGAGCAAGTGAATGACAGCCATTATCTAAACCAGTTTAGAAGAAGAAAGCATACATTTTATTAATAATGAAGATAAACAAGTAAAAGCAAAGAGATGATCTCAGTAGAACAATTATTTTCCTATAATATGCACCAAAGGACAATTGTTACAATATATTTCAGTTGACACACTTTAGCGGGTTATCACTACCAGATTGCTAAAATACAATAGCTTGCTCAAATAAACTTTTTTCCTCTTTGAATACTAACTGACAAAAAAATATTACATCCAATGGTACAGAAGAAGGCAATTTCACAAGTGGTAATGAGATTCTCAGAAGTGTTTTACATTCTTTAGAGTACATTAAGAAAAGAAATTAAGAGAGAAACAAATTAAAGTACACGAAATCAAAACTAAACCAAAGAGAACACATAAAAGACAGTCTCCAATTATCTAAAAATATGTTCCATCTCTCATGCTGAGGCAATTACTAATTTTCCCTTGTGAGGTTTGTCATGCAAATCTATGATTCTTAGTTCAGTGTTTCTTTAGTACTTTTGTTCTGTTAAGTAGGGTTAAACTTTCACCCTATAAAATATTTCTTGATTAAGATTCAAATTGACTAGATTTTAAAGATGAAACTAATTCAGCGACTACAATAAGGCTTTAAAAACATCTCATGTGTTTTTAATGCTTATGCTAAATCAAAATTGCTAATGCTATTATTTTTTTTAATTATAGGTAGAAACATCTACTGGCTCTAATGTTTTGCTCTTAGTGCGTTTTAGTCCCATGGCAACACATAGTGAAAATGTGTTTTTTCACTTGTAACACTTATCATCCCATTGATCATAGATTTGCTCAAGCAGGCACCAGTAATGTCTCCATTTGTCTGTGTCGCATGCTAGTGTAGCCCAATGGCATCTGCTTGTTACAGGAACACGAAGAGCCTCAAACCGTTTGTTAAGGGTTTTGATGAAGAAGTCTGACAATCTCGTAGGTGGGTGGCCATGCGTCCTTTTGATGTCCCATGGAATCCAGTTGGAAACAGCTCTAGTCCAGCGGTTGTCTCTAAATCACATTACGTGTCTGGCCCATCTGATTTTTGAGCCTTGGCAAATGAGACAGCATCCCTGATTCTTGATCATTGACGGAGACTGGAACTCCTGAATCCTTCTCTCACTTGAGTGAAATGTGATATTGCAAGCATAGCTTTTTTGATCCCTCTTTGGGATACCCGAATAGTGTTCTGATCTTGTTTTCGTAGGGCCCAGGTCTCTGAGGCATATGTTAGTGCAGGAAGAATGGTGGAGTCAAAAAGAGGTGCCCAGAGCCAGAGGTTCTTCATCCTCTTAACAACTTCTTTGACACTCTTGAAGGCGTTTCACACCGCTCTCTTTCTCATGCACAGTTCTGGCGCCAAGTTGTTCCTCAGGTTCTTGACCCAGATAGCTCCTTCCTGTGGAGATGTTCGTTCTGTTGAGAGCAAATAGAACATCAGGGACTAGTTCATTTTTCATAAACACTGTCTTTGTGAGATTCAGCTGCAGTCCGATTTTTCTACACTCACGGTCAAAGTCGGCCAGCATTTGTGCTCCTTGGCTAATGTTTGGTGTTATTAGGACGATGTCATCAGTGAAGTAGAGGTGGCGTAGTTGCTGACAGTCTAACTTCACTCCCATTCCTTGCCATTCCAATTGTTGCATGATGTTCTCGAGGGTGGCACTTCAGAGTTTCGTGAAATGGTATCACCCTGCCGAACTCCTCTCTTGACATGGATGATCACTTCCTTGTAGAATGGTGAGATCCTGGTGGTGAATCCATAATACAGCTCGCAGAGGATCCTAATGAGTTTCAACACTCTGATTGGCAAGGGCTTCGATGACCACTTCAGTCTCAAAAGAATCAAAGGCCTTCTTTAAATTGATGAATGTTAGACAAAGTGGTGTCTTGAACTCTCGCAAAACCTCAATGAGCTTCATCGATCATGCTGAATCCTTTTTGGAATCTGGCTTGCTCGCATGGTTTGTTTAGTGTTCTGCCTATTCTATTCAGAATGACTCCAGTGAACAACTTTTAATCTTCTAAAGTATTTCTCTCTTAATAGTATTTCGGAATCAACAAACTCTTTCTTTCTGACAATAGCTGATATAAACTATGTTGGAATGACAAGGTATTTGTAAGCTAACTCTTCATCTTCTGCAGTAAAAAAAATAAAAATCTGTAATTATCAATATAATCATCTTCTGTAAAAAAAATCCCAAACTAAACACCAGAAAAATTGCTATTCTTAAAGTAGAAACATCAGGTTGGGGAAAAGTAAGAAAACAGTGAATGAAGTAGCAGAAAATTCAGTTAGTTAAGTTCAAATATATTTGACAAGCTGTATACAATTATTACTTTTGGCATCTATAGACTATGAAGTCTAAAAAAACCCAAACTCGAGTGAGATCAAGTATCCAATGAACATATAATGAGAACAATGGCAAGAAAAGTAATAACCTTCTTTTAAGAAATGTAGCTGGGGATGGGGCGCAAGAGATAATACAGGGTTAAGTCATTGCCATGCAAGTGGCTGACTCTGGTTAGATGCTCAATACCCCCAATTCTCTTAATGCCCTTAAGAGTGATTCTAGAAAAACAAGGTGACCTTTTAGCATTTGAAGATTCTGATACATGAAACAAGAGAGTCAATAGTGAAACTGCAAAAATATATATATTTAATCCAACAATTAAACACATTTATAGGCTATGAATCTATTATCACTGTTCTGTCCTTCCTGCAGAATCAATTTTTCTTTTAACCTAGATTATTGTGTTATGAAAACAAAGATGCTTCAGATGAATGAATAAAAATACTCCTAGTATTTACTTTCTAAACCACCTGAAATATAAAATAATGGTTGATTATATATATATATTATATATGTACAGCGGTAAGGCATTTTCCTTGCATGCAGCCAGCCCGGCTGAGCCAGGTTTGATTCCTCTGCCCCTGTCAGAGAGCCTGGCAAGCTACCGAGAGTATCTCGCCCACATGGCAAAGCCTGACAAGCTACCTGTGACGTATTCAATATGCCAAACACAGTAACAAGTGTCACAATGGAGACGTTACTGGGCCAACTCAAGCAAATTGATGAACAACGGGAGGACATTGACAGTCACAGTGACATATAATTATATATTTATATATTATATAATATATACTTATATTATAATTATACAAATATGGTATATTTTATATTATAATTATATATGCAAATATATACAAATATATTATAATATATCATAATTACATGCTATATAATTATATATTATATACACCTATGTGTATGTGCACATATAGATGTATATATATGTGTATATATTTAAGAAAATAAAATTGCATAAAAGATGGCCGTGAAAATAAGAGGGAAGTATAACAGAATTCTAAAAAATTTTGAGGCCAAGAGTTCTTATCACTAAAGCCTGTATCTTACCAGAAAATAGAAGAGGGCATAAAGATTCCTAAAATAGCGTGTGAGACCTGTGCTAGGTTTCTTCTTTTTAAAGGAGAAACAGCAGGAATGTACCTACTTAAGGGAAGAGAAGATGAAAGAAAAAACCTCCTTGTTTTAGTTTATCAAATCAGATAAGAACTAAGAGACTGTTTAGAGACTTGCCCTACAAAGGAGAAACCAGGACACACCAAAAGATGCTATGGAAGGAAGTCAGAATGTGAAAGTTGAAAGACGGGTGCCAAGAGATAGCAGCGTGGGTAACATTCTTGCCTTGTATGCAGCTGACTCGGATTAGCCCCTAGTACCACACGTGCTCCTCAAGCCCTGCCAGGAGTGACCCCTAAGCACAGAGCAAGGGAAAGCCCTGAGCATAGCCAGGTGTGGCATCTCTCCTCCTCCAAAAAGAATATGTTAAATACATATACAAGGATTATAAGGCACTACTAAAACAAATAGAAGACACTGAAGAAAAAAACTAAAAGAAACAGATTCCCTATTCATAGGTAGAAAAGATTCAAATTATCAAAATGTCATCCTTCCAATGTACTATATAGATTCACTCCAATTCCTGTAAAAATAGCCATCACATATTTAAAAAATAACATACACCAAATGCTGTGGATATGTATATATGGAGGGACTCCGCGCCAGGCTGTGGGGTGGGTGAGAGCCCTCCCCACCCCAAGAGACCCAGCCCTGGCAGCCGACCTCCACTCCCCAACCACCGTCATGCTCCAGGCCGCTTTCCGGACCGCATGGTCGCAACACATTATAAGACACTTCCTACCCATTTTTCACAATTACTACACCATATCTGATGAGGTTCAGACAGTGGGCAACAAATTATATAGAAAAATATATAAACATATGCCTCTCAGAGAGCCGGCAGTCTACCGAGAGTATCCCGCTCACAAGGGCAGAACTTGGCCAGCTCCCCATGGCATATTCGATATGCCAAATAGAGTAAGACAACAGGTCTCGTTCCCCTGACCCTGAAAGAGCCTCCAATCGTTGGGAAAAGACGAGTAAGAAGAGGTTGCTAAAATCTCAGGGGTGGGAGGAATAGAGACATTACTGGCACCCGCTTGAGTAATTTGGTAATAAAAGGGATGACAGTGATACACTGTATACAGTGATACAGTGATACAATACAAATAGGTGAAGCAATCTTGTGAAAAGATGATGGGAGGGAGGGCCTTAGGTATAAGGTAAGGGAGCAACAAAGGGACAAAGGCAACAGAATGGAGCCTTGATCTACAACACTAAGCCTATCTGGGGACAAAAGGAAGAGGGTGGATAGGAGAGGTCCTTGGGACATTAGTGGAAAGGAGTAGAAGGTGGATGAGAGCGTCTTTGGGACATTACTGGAAAAGAATAGATACACGGTGGTTGACAATTTTTCATTTTAAGATGGATGCAATCATAGAGGCC